ATCCTCAGAGGTCGTGAGGTCTGTTGGAACTAGGAAAATTGGGTTTATCTACTTGTGGAATGGCCAGGGTGGGAAAAAACCTCTTGTCTGTTGGAGCTAGGTGTGAATGTTTCAACTGATCACCTTGATTAGCATTTGATGGCCTGGCAGTTTTTTGGCGTGGCTTGTTACTGCCTGGGGGAATCTTTTGTTGAGAGGTGATTAGCTGTCCCTGATGGTTTCCTCTCTATTGTTTTGCTGTTGTAATTTCAGAGTATTTTTAATACTGGGAGCCAGATTTTGTTCAATTTCATGGTTTCTTCCTTTCTGTTGAAATTGTCCACATGTTTGTGGATTTCAATGGCTTCTCCGTGTAGCCTGACATGGTGGTTGTGAGAGTGGTCCAGCATTTCCATCTAGTTTCTGATCCATCTAGTTTCTGATACAGAATATATGCCACTCAGTAGTCACCATCTGCTTGTCCACAGAACACCATATTTAATAATCTAGAGATGATCTGGTCTATCCAATGCAATTTTCTGAATTTTCTGAAACCCCAAATAACCCCAGGAACAGGCCTAAAAGTGAAGACACCATGGCGTCCCCGCTTCCAGGTGCCACATGGAACAGTTCCACTCAGGGGGAGGGACGAGATGGAGAATCAGCAGTCAGGAGGCTTGTTGATATGCCTTTTGTGAGTAGTCAGCCTCTCCCTCCAGACACCCCTGTTGCCTTGTGCGAAGATGCCACCAATTTGTAATGAAGCCACCAATTTGTGACTGTTTTGTAAAAAAAGCCACCATTTTGTAAGGGCTTATTAAATTGATAGCATAGCTAATAGCTAGTAATATTGAATTGGTCTTTCTTCAATGTGTAGCGTGACTTAACGTAGAAAAGATTTGTAACAGAGACTTGGCTTTAGAAGAAACTGTTACAATTTTATTGAAATGTACAAGAAGCTTGATGGTTTCAATGTTTCTTAGCTCTTAGAGGCACATATCTTTAGAGGTTACATTTATAGCATTTCATAAACAACTCTTAGGAGGACTCTTCCTTCCCTCAAACAGGTTTCAAACTTATTTTTCTTGAAACTGTATTTCTTTCCATAATAGATTACTTCAGATACAAGCTTAGCCTTTCTTCGTGATATTTCTGTTGCAATAAAGATTCTTATTAGGGTTTCTCTCACCCTTTCTACTCACACACTAACTACTAATATGGTGCGCGGCAGCCATGTTACTAACAGGAGCAGGATGCAGGGAGAATACAACGCCCTTGTTGTTCCAGCTCCACTGGCTGCCGATCTGCTACCGGGCCCAATTCAAGGTGCTGGTGTTGGCCTACAAAGCCCTAAATGGTTCCAGCCCAAAATACCTGTCTGACCGCATCTCGGCCTATGAGCCCACGAGGACTTTGAGATCGTCTGGGGAGGCCCTTCTCTCGATCCCGCCTGCCTCACAGGCACGCCTGGCGGGGACGAGAGATAGGGCCTTCTCAGTGGTGGCCCCCCGGCTGTGGAACACCCTCCCTGTAGACATCAGACAGGTGCCCTCCCTTATGACATTCCGCAAGAGACTAAAGACGTGGTTGTTTGAGAAGGCGTTTGACTAAGTGCTACAACAATTGGCAATGATGACTGGAACGGAACATGGATAATGAGATTGGATTGTGATTCTATGATGAGACGCTGCGAATGATTTAGTGTAATTGTATTATCAATAGTGATGTTGTTATTGTTGTTTGTGATATTGCCTATATTGTAATTTGTTTTTATATGTTGTACACCACCGTGAGTCGCCCTAGGGCTGAGAACGGCGGTCTACAAGTGCAGTAAATAAATAAATAAATAATAATATAAATAAGTCAACTTGACTTATCTAAACTACACAGGCCAGAAGCCAAAACCTTCCTGATTCTTGCTACGGTAAAATCAGCCTTTCCCTGTAGTTTTTAAACTACAGACTATCTTCCCTCAGCTGTGGAACACCCTCCCTAAAGATCTGTCCCTTCTCTCCTAACTTTTTGCAAGACACTTAATACTTGGCTGTGGGAGCAAGCGTTCACAGAATAGACAGTTTTTATTGGCTTAGATGAGATTGTATGGACTGATTTGGAGCACATTTTAAACTTGGTGAACTATATTTAAACGTATATTTATTATCATTTTATGTAATTGTGTATTTATTGATGTTTTTATATTGTTGGAAGCCGCTCTGAGTCCCTCTTCGAAGGTCAAGAATAGGATGGGATACAAAGGTTCTAAATAAATAAATAATAGATAGATAGATAGATAGATAGATAGATAGATAGAAATCATATATTTGCTTGCAGTCTCTTGAAGTACTTTAAATCTTGGGTTGGGGTTACTATGGCTTGATAACAGTACCAGTACTACAAGATGAGTTGTTATTATTACAATTACTACTACAAGTTGAGCTGTTATTTATTCCTCATTTCTCCCCATGAATCAAGATTGGGAATGGCAGTATATTAAAATAAACATGAACCATCTGTTAAAAGCACATAACCCATAAGCCAATAAAATGGGTTTATCCAAAATGCCTGGAACTGTTGCACTCCAGAACAGAAACGTTACCCTCTGACTTTAAAACACACCACACGTTGAGTGAAAAACCAATCCTTTTTATTGAAGCTGAGTCAAATAGCCAGTAGAAAGAAATGCTTTTAAAAACAGGGAAATTTCAAAATGTAAAAGATCAGTAATTCAAATGCAGTAATTCAATGAAATGTCCACAAAAGATATAAAAACAATCCCAGGCAGTATTTATCCAGACAGGAATCAACAGGTTGCAAAGATAATCCAGAAGGTGCTAAACCACAGTAAAATGGTAAAAATCTCTATAAGAACAAGACCCTTTGAGCAGGATTTCCAAGGCACATGAACATGATTTCCAAATGATGCCTGATCTAACAGGGTTTCCCTTGAAGCAAACCTTATATCCCAGAGTCCAAAAATTGGTTTCGTTTCCCCACACTCTTGACTCTTTTCTGACGAAGCCTTTCGGAGTGACGTAAACATTGAGTTTGTTGTTGATCTTGGCTGAACTCTAGACCCCCATTTTTCAACTCCTTTTCTGGCTGCTCATTAAAATTACCAGATTGTTTTCTAAACTTGAGAGCTCACAGAGAGAGGGAGTGAACCATCATCCTTAAGCCCAGCAGGGATATTCTCATGAGAAACTGCCCTTTGCGCTGGGGCCTCTCTGTCATTGTCTGCCTGAAAATCATTGCCCAAACTATCTCCATCTTGCGCCTCAGCCTCTGCACCATCATTTCCCTCATCATGTCCCACATCAAGAGCATCATGATCCTGAGCATCATGAAACACAAACACAGGCTGATTCCCAACAGGAACCAGAGATGTTTTTGATTATTTTTTTTGCACTGGATTTTGAAACACCACTGCTTTTGTCTACATACATAAAGAAATATTTCAGAAATGTAACACACATCATTTATTCAATATTTTACACATACACCTTATTATACACACATGAAGGTAATTGTATGCAGAATATTTTTAATAATTTCGTGCAAAACGTGTGTCCATCAAACCATAAAAAGCAAACATGTTGCCATATATCCTAATTTTGCCCATCCAGAAAACTGAATCCTGGAGAAAAGATTGTGTGTGGCCTGAGGATACATCTGATTTATTGCTTTTTCCCTTCCAATGCGCACTTAAAGCATTTAGTTCCAGCCTCCTAAAATTTATTTATTTATTTTATTTATTACTTCACTTGTATACCGCTTTTCTCAGCCAATGGCGACTCAGAGCGGTTAACAACCAGTATCAACAATACAGTACAAAATCATTAGCATTTAAAACAGTACTATCAATTAGTTAACACCAGGACATCAATACAACAATACAAGAAAAATACAAGAAAAATAACAATCCAACACGTCTCATCAATAGAATCAATAAAATCCATCTCAATCTATACAAAGGTGTATAGATAGGTGTATATGGGCTCAAAGCCAACCTCAAAAGCTCTGGCATAGACACTGAGAACTGGGAAGCCCTGGCCCTTGAGTGCTCCAGCTGCAGGTCAGCTGTGACCAGCAGTAGTGCAGAATTTGAAGAGGCACGAATGGAGGGTGAAAGAGAGAAACGTGCCAGGAGGAAGGCACGCCAAGCCAACCCAGACCGGGACCGCCTTCCACCTGGAAACCAATGTCCTCACTGTGGGAGAAGATGCAGGTCAAGAATAGGGCTCCACAGTCACCTACGGACCCACCGCCAGGATACAACACTTGGAGGACCGTCATCCTCGGACTATGAGGGATCACCTAAGTAAGTAAGTATACAAAGGTGTAATATAATTGTGTCCCTGATATAAAAGGGCCAAACCAAGGTGTGCTTTTTGGAATTTTGAAAAATAGTGTTGTACTGTGGATGGTGAAATCCATGGATACATAGAGCTGACTGGGTTAGATTGTTCCGGTTCCACTGTATCTGTCCGAACGCATCTCCCGCTACGTCCCGCCTCGGAGCTTGAGATCATCTGGGGAGGTCCTGCTCTCGACCCCACCACTCTCACAAGTGAGGCTGGTGGGGACGAGGAGCAGGGCTTTCTCAGTGGTGGCCCCTCACCTGTGGAACTCACTCCCCGGGGAAATCAGAGCATCACCATCCCTCCTCTCCTTCAGGAGGAGGGTGAAAACTTGGTTATGGGACCAGGCCTTTGGGCAACCAGGCAATTAAAGACTAGCAGGATGGACGAAATGGTACTAAAAAACGGATCTATGAGACAGCAAACACTGACAATGCAAGGGAGGAATCTAGGTTTGTATTGATTTTATTGATTTTTATTGATTTTTATTGGAATAATGCATGAAGCTGTTGGTAACTGTGAATTTATTGTAATTTTGTGATGATTGTTGTGATGCAGGCATCTAATCGTGCCTTTACTGTGTAAGCCGCCCTGGGTCCCCTTCGGGGTGAGAAGGGCGGGGTAAAAGAACCCCAAATAAATAAATAAATAAATAAATAAATTGTTGGGCCAAAACTAACGAAATTCATTTTGGATGGATACAGGGAGAAATGTAAGGTATATAAAAAAATCAAAAAGCATATTTATAGAATAGGCTTGTAAACAGCCTATGCCTTAGTAGACCTCAAGCTGAGCATGAGTTCACAGTGTGATGCTGCAGCTAAAAGGGCCAATGTGATTCTAGGCTGCACCAAGAGGATGTTACAGTGAATTGTAAAAGGATCAGCAGCACCAAGTATATGTGTGTGCTAAAGAAAGCCTTATCTATTAATTATCATGTGCAGCTGCTAATCTAGATCAGGAAGTAGGGTTGAGCCACACCCAGTGGGGTATAACTGTATGTGGCTTAGAATAACTTGGGCGATCCCTCATAGCCTGAGGATGATGGTCCTCCAAGTGTAGTGTCCTGGCGGTGGGCCCATAGGTGACTGTGGAGCCCTATTCTTGACCTGCAACTTCTCCTGCAGTGAGGGCATTGGTTTCCAGGTGGAAGGCGGTCCCGGTTGGGGTTGGCTTGATGTGCCTTCCTCTTGGCACATTTATCTCTTTTGTCCTCCATTCGTGCCTCTTCAAATTCTACAGCATTGCTGGTCACAGCTGACCTCCAAGTGGAGCACTCAAGGGCCAGGGTTTCTGAGTTCTCAGTGTCTATGCCAGAGTTTATAAGGTTGGCTTTGAGCCCGTCTTTGAATCTCTTATCTTGTCCTCCAACATTCGGTGTTCCATTCTTGAATTCGGAGTAGAGCAACTGCTTTGGGAGATGGTGGTAGGGCATTCGGACAAGGTGGCCGGTCCAGCTGAGTTGATGGTGGAGGACCATTGCTTCAATGCTGGTGGTCTTTGCTTCTTCCAGCACGCTGACGTTTGTCCGCTTGTCTTCCCAAGAGATTTGCAGGATTTTCCGGAGGCAGCGCTGATGTAATCATTCCAGGAGTTGCATGTAACGTCTGTAGACAGTCCACGTTTCGCAGGCATAGAGCAGGGTTGCGAGGACAACAGCTTTATTTATTTTTTTGTTGTGTCAGGAGTAACTGCTCCTGTTGTGAGAGAATTGGCTGTCTGCAAGGACGTTGCCCAGGGGACGCCTGGATGATTTAACAGCTTTATAAACAAGCACCTTGGTCTCCCTACGGATGTCCCGGTCCTCAAACATTCTCTGTTTCATTCGGAAAAATGCTGCACTCGCAGAGCTCAGGCGGTGTTGAATGTTGACTTTTGTGGAGAGGTGGCTGCCAAGGTAGCAGAAATGGTCCACATTTTCTAACGTTACACCATTCAGTTGTATTTCTGGCATTGGAGAGGGATTGGCTGGTGACTGCAGGGAGAGCACTTTGGTTTTCTCGATGTTTAATGACAGGCCGAACTTCTCATATACTTCTTCGAGTTCAGTAAAATAAAGCTGTGTGTCGTTCAGTAAAATAAAGTGCGTCTTGGACATCTCCCCTTTGTCCTTTGGAAACTGGTTCCAGCTCCCTTCCTTTCCTCATCAGCCTCAGTGTTTTTAATTAATTGATTGGTGGAACTACATACCAGGAAAAAGACATTCCCAAGACATGTGCTTGGTAGCATGAATAACGAAAGGGTTAAGATCACTCAGTGCATAGAGAGCGCAGGCCAGAATGACACATCCGGTCAAGTCAGACAGATGCAATGTCTGGGGTGTCAGTACAAAGATAAGCGCCAACCATGTGTTTGATCCTTCTCTTCCACCTTGACTGAGTGTGAGTAGCTGTAAATAAGTTGTGATAATAACAAACAGTGACTTGCCAAGGTCTCTTGGCTGAAAGACAGCCATCCAGCGTGTTTGATTTGAAGAGCACAGAGGCAGGCAGGGGAAGAGCAGAGGGGTGCCGTGGAAGTGTGCATGTTGCAGGTATCACTCGTGTCTGTGGCTGCAAATCCAGGGGAATCCTAAGTGCCTGTCTTTCTGGGGACCTCTGACTGTTTTGGGGGGAGAAGGGTTTTCACCACCTTCAGTCCAGGGACAAAGGGCTCCGTGTCCTTGAGGATGAGGGCGCTCTGGAGGGTGCTTCGGTTGGCATCACCTAATGCAAGGCTGTCATGATGGATCCAGATCCAGGGCATTCCTAGGAAAGAAGAAAGTGGTTAACCCAAACTCCAGGCCAGGAAAGCTGCTCTTGACTCCAAGGGTGGATCTGCACTGCAGAATGAATGTAGTTTAGCACCACTTCAACTGCCATGACGGAGCCCCCGGTGGCGCAGTGGGTTAAACCCCTGTGCCGGCAGGACTGAAGACTGACAGGTCGCAGGTTCGAATCCGGGGAGAGGCAGATGAGCTCCCTCTATCAGCTCCAGCTCCTCATGCGGGGACATGAGAGAAGCCTCCCACAAGGATGATAAAACATCAAATAATCTGGGCGTCCCCTGCAACGTCCTTGCAGACGACCAATTTTCTCACACCAGAAGCGACTTGCAGTTTCTCAAGTTTCTCCTGACACAACTAAAAAAAAAACTGCCATGACTCAATGCTATGAAATCGTGGGAGTTGTAGTCTAGTGAGGCTCCAGTGCTCTTTGGCAGAGAAGGCTACATATCTTGCAAAACTACCACTGCCTAGATTCCATAGCATTGAGCCATGGCAGCTCAAGTGGTGTCAAACTGCATCCATTCTGTAGTGTAGATGCATTAATTTAAGATGCATTAATTCTACAGGGTAGAGGCACCCTGACTCTTTGCAGCCAAGTCAAAATCCGGCATCTCTCTCCCCTTGAGGCACTGGAGCTCACCTTTCCGCACTCGTTGTCCCACAGAGACCAGAAGTTCAGCCCCAACCCGGTGCTGGATGCACTGGCCTTCTTTCGTGCGACCGGCCCCCAAAGCATGGAGCACCTGAGCAATGGGCATAGCAAGGATCTGATGGACGGTCCCTGCCAAGAAAAGGAAGGGCGACAATTGGATTCTGCTTCAGATACCAGTTTTAGTAGGAAGAGCAGCATGGCGACCAGGAAAGATGCTGGAGGTGATCATTAGCAAGGCACTCTCTTAGTACTAAGAAAGGAATGCCAGACTCACAGACGTCAACATGAGTTTTGCAGATGGAACTCATGCCAGACAAACCTTATGTCTTTAGGTTACTGTAGGTTTTTCAGGCTATATGGCCATGTTCTAGAGGCATTCTCTCCTGACGTTTCATCTGCATCTATGGCAAACATCCTCAGAGGTTGTGAGGATGCTTGCCATAGATGCAGGCAAAACGTCAGGAGAGAATGCCTCTAGAACATGGCCATATAGCCAGGAAATCAGAAGACGTTTACTTCTTGGGAGGAGAGCAATGACCAATCTTGATAAAATAGTAAAGATTAGAGACATCACATTAGCAATGAAGATCCGCATAGGTAAAGCAATGGTATTCCCCAAAGTAACCTACGGATGTGAGTGCTGGACCATAAGGAAGACTGAGTGAGGGAAGAGAGATTCTTTTGAATTATGGTGCTGGAGGAAAATTCTGAGAGTGCCTTGGACCGCAAGAAGATCCAACCAGTCCATACTTCAGGAAATAAAGCCTGACTGCTCACTGGAGGGAAGGATATTAGAGGAAAAGTTGAAGTACTTTGGCCACATAATGAGAAAGAAAGCTTAGAGAAGACAGATGCTGGGGAAATGGGAGAAAAAGGAAGAGGGGCCGACCAAGGGCAAGATGGATGGATGGCATCCTTGAAGCGACTGGCTTGACCTTGAAGGAGCTGGGGGTGGTGGCGGCCGACAGGGAGCTCTGACCTGGGCTGGTCCATGAGGTCACAAAGAGTCGGAAGCGACTGAACAAATAAACAACAACAACACAAGCTTGGTAAAGGAATCGTAGAATACTAGAGTTGGAAGAGACCACATGGGCCATCTAGTCCAGTGTTTCTCAACCTGGGAGTTGGGACCCCTGGGGGGGGGGTTCAGGGGAGGTTCGGGGGGGGGGGGTTGCCAAAGACCATCAGGAAACACATATTTCTGATGGTCTTGGGAACCCCTTTGACAGAGAAAGCTGAAGACCTCTCAGTTTGTCCTCATCCTTTTCAGAAACAGGCGGCAAATCCTCCCACCAAAAGCCCTCCTCCTGCTGTGATTGGCTGGCCTCTCAGTCAAGGGGAGGGCTGTTTCTGAGACTCCAAGCAGGGAGGGGAGAGAAGGCGCGCTCGGTGTTATGAAAAGCTTTTCACTAATTTTAAAGCATAGGTTCTTTTTATTGCAATTTTCCAGTACGAGAAAGGTATCAGAACTTTTACAGAACAACACTTAGAGTTGTTGCTAGTTTTCTGGGCTGTATGACCATGTTCCAGAAGCATTGTCTCCTGACGTTTCGCCTGCATCTATGGCAGGCACCCTCAGAGGTTGTGAGGTCTGTTGGAAACTAGGAAAATGGGGTTTATATGTCTGTGGAATGATGTCCAGGGTGGGAGAAAGAACTCTTGTTTGTTTGAGGTCGGTGTGAATCATAGAATCCTACAATCAAAGAGTTGGAAGAGACCTCCTGGGCCATCCAGTCCAACCCCATTCTGCCAAGAAGCAGGAATATTGCATTCAAATCACCCCTGACAGATGGCCATCCAGCCTCTGCTTAAAAGCTTCCAAAGAAGGAGCCTCCACCACACTCCGGGGCAGAGAGTTCCACTGCTGAACAGCTCTCACAGTCAGGAAGTTCTTCCTCGTATTCAGATGGAATCTCCTCTCTTGTAGTTTGAAGCCATTGTTCCGCGTCCTAGTCTCCAGGGAAGCAGAAAGGAAGCTTGCTCCCTCCTCCCTGTGGCTTCCTCTCACATATTTATACATGGCTATCATATCCCCTCTCAGCCCTCTCTTCTTCAGGCTAAACATGCCCAGCTCCTTAAGCCGCTCCTCATAGGGCTTGTTCTCCAGACCCTTGATCATTTTAGTCGCCCTCCTCTGGACACATTCCAGCTTGTCAATATCTCTCTTGAATTGTGGTGCCCAGAATTGGTCACAATATTCCAGGTAAAGTGGTCTAACCAAAGCGGAATAGAGGTGTAGCATTACTTCCCTGGACCTAGACACTATGCTCCTATTGCCATTGACCACCTTGAATAGCACTTAATGGCCTAGCAGTTTCAAGGTCTGGTTCTTACTGCCTGGAGGAATCCTTTGTTGGAGTTTTTTAAATACTGGCAGCCAGATTTTGTTCATTTTCATGGTTTCTTTCTTTCCGTTGAAATTCCAGGCTGCATCAAGCGGAGCCTAGTGTTTAGAAGGAGGGAAGTCCTAGTCCCACTCTGTTCTGCTTTGGTCAGACTTCACCTGGAATATCCAGAAGGATATTGACAAGCTAGAATGTGTCCAGAGATAGGTGACCAAAATGATCACAAGTTTGGAAGCCATGAATCCATCTGAGGAACACCTTAGGGAGCTGGGGGTGTTTAGCCTGGAAAACAGAAGGCTGGGACAGGCATGTAGCCGGGAGGGGGGGGGGCTTGAGGGGCTTCAGCCCCCCCCCCCGAAATTCTCATGGTGGTCCATGAGAAGGCCTTACTGGTACATTATTTAAACTGTTATGTTTATTCTGTCAGTATATGTTGAAGTATGTAATGTGTTTTAAATGTAATTTCATGCCGTAGAAATATGGATGCCATAAGATTGTATTGCTGTGATGTATGTTTATGTTAGAGGCTGTGAGAAAGTAGCCCTGAGATACTCTTTGTGCAGAGCTGTGAGAAAATTAGGGAGTATCTGGTATCTGCCAAGCAGTTGCAGAATTGTTTTACACTTCTACTTCCTTTGTCCTGCATATGGTGTACTTCGTGTCTGGTTGCTTACTGTAATGGGTGTGTTTTGGAACTGCTCTAAGTAAATTGAACCTGCTTTGTAACCAGACGTCTCCAGAATCCATGTTTTTCTACTAAGCCTGTGCAAAACTTCCGCTAATACTAACATATTCATATCATGATCTGATCATCATGCTCAATATATCCCATATGCATGGGGGTATTGGGGTAACGATACAAAAGTTTGCTATAGTAGACAACGGAGCCATGCATCTAGATGCCAGGAAAAGGGATTCCATCTAACATTAGGAAGAACTTTGGGACAGTAAGAGCTTTTTGACTGTAGAAAATACTGCAGCATTTGAGTCCAGTGGAGTCTCCGTCTTTGGAGGCTTGTAAGTCATCTGTTGGAAGGATTTGGATTGCATGTTCCTGCATGGCAGTAGGAGCTAGAACTGGATGGCCTTTGGGCATCGCTTCCAACTCTATATGTCTATCAACAGCAAGACATTTTGGGTCCACATTCTCACCAATGAGAGAAACAGGTCACATTGTTGTCAGAGGGTCTGACATGGCCCTTCTCTGTCCTTCTTACCATCGCATGGAGCCACCAGCGCGACCTGGAACCGAGCCCTTCCCAGCACCTGGAGTCTCTGCTCTTCCGTTCCATTGCAGAGGGCCTTAGCTGTGTTGGAGCCCACGCCTTGGGCCTCCAGCATGGCTTGGAAGGCACCCAGGGCTGAGCCATCATCKAAGGCTTTGGCGATGCGAGCAGAGCCCTGAGACACAGAGGGAGCTCTCRCACATTGCRATAACAAGGTTCCTCCTGCAAAGAAATGGACGGAGAGCAAGTGGGAGGGCAGTTCTTGGATGTATCTCTCCAGCCAAGCCTCCAAAGAGCAGGGAYGAGACAGTGTTGTGTAGTGGTTAGACCGAGGAACTGAGTCAGGGGACATCCATGGTTAAAAATGCCCATTAAGCAATGATAAGACATAATGCTGCCTCTCCATGGCCTCTCCTGGGGCCATCACAAGTTCTCACCCCTAGATCTCTAACCCACAGTCTTCCAGGAGTTGGGTTAGGAGCTCCAGGTCCTTCTAGCCCAATGTATACAACCATGCCCATCAAGCATCAAGGAGTGCAGACATACCTAACGTGGTCACCAGCTCCCGGACGTCCTTGGGCCCCCCTCCATCCAGGCACTCCAGGGCCTCAAGCACCTCCAAGGAATTGCCCACCCGACGCCCAAGAGGGCTGTCCATCTTGCTGAAGACCGCAACAGTGTTTATTCCCAGCTGGGTCCCGACCGACACCTGCGAGACACACAGAGAGAGCTTTAGGCAGAATATTTAGACTTGGGGTAGCGAAGGACAGCCAGTTGACCCCCTCATTCTAAAAAAGCAGGGAGGTTGAAGCATTGGAGTCTTGCTCTTGGAGCTTGTAGTAGGAAACACATATGTAATCATGGAGTTGGATTGCCTGATGGCTTCCACGCTCATGAGAGTGAGTCCACTCTTAGCTGTGCCTTGAAAAGAAAAGAGGTATGCTTATACTTTAAGAAGAAGGTAGAATCCTAGAATCCTAGAGTTGGAAGAAACCCCAAGGATTGCCCTGTCCAACCCCCTTCTGCTATGTCTTTCCAGATTCTCAATGTCTTCTTGAATTGAGGCGTCCTGTTAGGGATTCCTCATCTTCAGAAGACGAAGGGGAGCAGGAAAGTGTTCAGGAATCGGAAGGGCGGTTAGAATCAGAAGATGAAGTTTTGCAAGTGCCTACATTTCTGGAAAGGCAAAAGGAAACAGAGCAGAAATGGTGTTCAGCTAGAATAGCTGCTAGAAACGCCGAGCTAATTGGAAGCCGCCTTAGCACCTCCTGCGTGGGGAATTCAGGGCTATAAATCAGAAGCAGAAGCAGTTAGCTTTTGCTGGTAACAAACGACTCTGATGCTTATGTCTTTGCTCCAATTGTAGCTGTTTCAAGTCTGCTTCTAAGGATTTAGTGATTATTGCCTGTTGTCTGGTGTAAGACTGCTGTATCTTTTGGACTTTATCAGAGACTTGAGTTTTGTATCTGCATTAAGACTTCCTTGCTTTTGTTTGCATTTTTCAACTGCATGTGCTGTTCCCTTGTGTTTGCTGAAGTGGAGCATTTTTCATTTACTTTCAACATGGTATTAAGGCTTGAAGGGCAAGTCAGGAAATGTCCAGAACAAAGGCTATCTAGTTCAACCCCATTTCTACCAGGCAGGAAGGCACAATCCAAGCCCTCTCAAGAGATGGCCATCCAGCATCTGCTTATCGTGTTGGAGTTCCTAGCTAAATGTACTTCGCTCTCTCAACTGTTCCCCTTGATCCTTCATTGCCTTGATTGCCTTGTCCTGGACACATTCCAGATTGGCAATGGCCTCCGTGAATTGTGGTGCCCGGAATTGGACCCAGATGAGGTGTGACCAAGGGTGGCTCAACCCATTACGCAAAGTAAGCATTTGAGGTATAGTTGATTTTGCCCAGGGGTGCTCTTGAGGCGCTCTTGGGGGAAAATAGACCTTCACATATGCGAGTTGTACTTACTGGGATATATAGTTCACCTACAATCAAAGAGCATTCTGAACTCCACCTATGATGGAATTGAACCAAATATGGCACACAGAACTCCCACGACAAACAGAAAATATATATCAGTGATTGGTTTGGGGGGGAGGGGGTGCCAAAATACTGTTTGCTTACCTTTGAAAATTACCTAGGCCGCCTCTGGGTGTGACCAAAAGCAAAATCAAAGTTCTGGCGACTAGAAATGGACACTGTATTCCAGTTGAGATTGGCTGGCATGGAATCAAATGGCACTACTCCTTTCCTTAATCTGCACAATTTCATTTTGTTGGCGCAACCTAGAATCTTGGCAGTGTTTCCTCCCCAAKCCCACAAGGAACTGAATGGCATCTGCCTGCCCTTCTGCCCTTTCCCATCCAACTCACCAAACTCTCTGCCAACTGTTGGGCACTCTCAAGGGTTGGGAAGAAGGCGCCARTCCCAATCTTCACATCCAGCACCAAAGCAGTGAGGTTCTCAGCCACCTTCTTKCCCAGGATGGAACCTGCAACCCCAAAYATGGATAATGCATGGAGACTTCATGTGAACAGGTGCCCAGAGAACAGCCCCAAAAAGTKACCTCTCAATCCTTTTGGGATAGAAACTTAGCCCCTGCCTCGTCTCTTAGTTCTGGCTCCAAGAAGTAGACTCACCAAAACTAAGGGAATTTAGGGCCCATCCACAATGTCATAAAAATCCAGATGATCTGCTTTGAACTGGATTATATTAGTCTACACTGCCATATAATCCAGAGTAAAGCAGATACTCTGGATTTTATATGGCAGTGTTGATGGGGCCTTAGTGAGCAACCCAAGTCTTTGCGTTTTTTACTAGAAGCATGGTGTGGTCTGCATATCGTGGAAACATAGAATCATAGAGTTGGAATCATAGAATCAAAGAGTTGGAAGAGACCTCCTGGGCCATCCAGTCCAACCCCATTCTGCCAAGAAGCAGGAATATTGCATTCAAATCACCCCAACAGATGGCCATCCAGCCTCTGTTTAAAAGCTTCCAAAGAAGGAGCCTCCACCACACTCCGGGGCAGACAGTTCCACTGCTGAACGGCTCTCACAGTCAGGAAGTTCTTCTTCATGTTCAGAAAACCTGAAGGCCATCCAGTTCAACTCCATTCAGCTACACAGTTGAAGCCTTCCCGACAGATGGCCACCCAGCCGTTGCTTTATCTGACAATATAAACTAATGTATTGTCAAAGGCTTTCATGGCCGGACCTCACTACCTCTGAGGATGCTTGCCATAGATGCAGGCGAAACGTCAGGAGAAAATATGCCTCTAGAACATGACCATATAGCCTGGAAAAACCTACAACAACCCAATATAAACCAATGTCATTCAGTTCAAACCATATAATCTGGGATCAGATTATAGGACAGCGCAGATCCAGCCTTAGCATTCTCTGGAATTTTAAATGCACACTCAACTACAAATCCCATGATTTTCCATGGCAGTTCAAGTTGCCTCCAAGGGGTAGGGGTTGGACTGGATGATGGCCCAGGAGGTCTCTTCCAACTCTTTGATTCTATGATTCTATGATATGTGTGTTGCTGGATGGCCCTTTGTCAGGAGGGCTTTGATTATGTTTTCTTGCCCTGGTGAAGGGAGTTGGACTGGACGGCCTTAAGGGAACATTTCTTAAACCTAGGGGTTGGGACCCCTGGTGGGGTGGGGTGGGGGGGGGTCATGAGGGGTTGTCAGAAGGATCACCAAAGACCACCAGAAAACACAGTATTTTCTGTTGGTCATGGGTGTTCTGTGTGGGAGTTTTGGTTCGATTCCATCGTTGGTGGGGTTCAGAATGCTCTTTCATTTGTAGGTGAACTATAAATCCAAGTAACTACAACTCCCAAAAGTCGAGGTATATTTTCCCCAAACTCCACCAGGGTTGACATTTGGGCATATTGAGTATCCGTGCCAAGTTTGGTCCAGATCCATCATTGTTTGAGTCCACAGTGCTCTCCGGATATAGGTGAACTACAACTCCCAAAGTCAAGGTCAATGCCCACCAAACCCTTCTAGTGTTTTCTGTTGGTCATCAGAGTTCTGTGTGCCACATTTGGTTCAATTCCATCATTGGGGGAGTTCAGAATGCTCTTTGATTATAAGTAAACTATAAATCCCAGCAACTACAAATCCCAAATGACAAAATCCATTTTTTTTTTTTGAGTGATAGTCACTCCTTGGGTTAGTAGGTGTCTTGTGGACAAAATTGGTGGCAATTCATCCAGTGTATTGTCGAAGGCTTTCATGGCCAGAATCACTGGGTTTTTGGAGGTTTTTTCGGGCTATATGGCCATAATCTAGAGGCATTCTCTCCTGACGTTTCGCCTGCATCTATGGCAAGCATCCTCAGAAGTAGTGAGGTCTGTTGGAACTTGGAAAATTGGCTTTATCTATCTGTGGAATGTTGTTTTACAACAATCTGGGACATCTAATCACCTCTCCACAAAAGATTCCCCCAGGCACTGCCAGGCCATCAAATGCTAATCAAGGTGGTCAGCTGAAACATTCACACCTAGCTCCAACAGACAAGAGTTCTTTGTCCCACTGTGGACATAACTCCACAGATATATAAACCCCTTTTCCTAGTTTCCAACAGACCTCACTACCTCTGAGGATGCTTGCCACAGATGCAGGCCAAATGCCAATCAAGGTGGTCAGTTGAAACATTCCCACCTAGCTCCAGCAGACAAGAGTCCTTTGTCCCACCTTGGACATAATTCCACAGAAATATAAACCCCTTTTTCCTAATTCCAACAGACCTCTCTACCTCTGAGGATGCTTGCCATAGATGCAGGCGAAACGTCAGGAGAGAATGCTTCTAGAACATGGCCATATAGCCCAGGGGAAAAAAAAATACAACAACCCAATTCATCCAGTGTTTTTTGTGTTATGTTAATCCCACAAACAAAACATTACATTTTCATTTATATATAGAAAAAATATAGAAAGCTGTCTATATTCATGTCAGATGCGACACAAGTTTTGATGTTTGACCATCCTCGTGGGAGGCTTCCGTCATGCCCCCGGAAGGGAAGCTGGAGCTGACAGAGGGAGCTCACCCACGCCTGTCGCTCTTTAACCCAGGGACAATGATACAATACAAGGCAAGAGAAGCTAGAGACACCAGGCCAGTACATCTGCCTAGGAATATCACTTGCAGTCTAATAGGCAACTTTTCTATCTATCTATCATCTATCTATCTATCTATCTATCTATCTATCTATCTATCTATCTATCTATCTACCTACCTACCTACCTATCTACCTACCAGGGCCGTAGCCAGAAAATTTTTTTGGGGAGGGTTGACAATTTGGGGGGGGGGGGTTGAAAATTTCAGGGAGGGTTGAAATTTTGGGGGTGGGGAGTGGGGTTGAAACCTGCCTCGTAGCTCACGCTGAAGCAAAGAGCACAGCAGGGGGCAGAGCAGCCTTCCATAGCCTGCAGCTCCACCCCTGTCAACCACCTCCACCAAGTCTGGCCTCCTTAATGAGAGCATTCAACACACACACGCCCAACTTGGTTGCTTCACTACATCGGCTATTGCTGCAAGTAATGACAGTGTGAATAAATTGTCAATATTTGCTTGAGATAGTGCTTACAGTTCTGGAACAGTTCTGCTTCCAGCTCTCATAGACTTAGCATGAGGATTTGGTTAACCAGTTAAAATTCATGAGTAAACCAGGTTTTTTAAAAAAATCTGAAACATTTTTGGGGGGGGTTGAACCCCTAAAACCACCCCCTCGCTACAGGCCTGCTACCTACCTACCTATCTATCTACCTACCTATCTACCTACCTATCTACCTACCTACCTACCTACCTACCTATCTATCTACCTACCTACCTACCTACCTACCTATCTATCTAC